TGCCCGGTGACAACAAGATATTCGTTATGTGTGATGCTAGTGATTGGCATACCAGGGCCACATTGTCTTTTGGACCTACGTGGGAGACGGCTCGGCCTGTTGCATTTGATTTCATGCATCTCAAAGGACCTGAGCTCAACTATTCAATTGACAAAAAGGAGCTGCTCACGATTGTGCGCTTGCTGAAGAAGTGGCATTCCGACTTGGTTGGGACACTGATAATGGTGTACACTGATCACTGCACCCTTCAAAACCTTGAGACACAGAAAGACCTGTCTCACCGACAGCTGTGTTGGCAGGAGTTCATGTCACAATATGACCTGTCCATTGTGTACATCGAAGACAATATGGTGGCTGACACCCTCTCATGTGTGCCCCCGGGTGCATTTGAGTCTGATTATAGAGAATGCAACCGCACTGCATGCTGTGCTCAACATCTCGTTGAACCCTTCCTTTGTTAATGCCCTCAAGTGCGGATACGCACGGGATAAATACTGCTGCAAACTCATTGCCAACGCGCACTCAGTGCCAGGAGTGTGCAAAAACAACGGCCCGTCCTGTGAGGATTGTCAGCAACATAAGAGCTCGACAAAATGGCCTGTTGGGCCCCTCTACCTGCTGCCGGTACCCGATGATTGATTTGACTCGACTGAGTGGGACCACTACCAACAGACTACGGTTTTGAGTGTGCTATGACAATTACGGACCAGTTGCACGCCAATTTTTGGCCAGTACCAACTCGTGTGATGGCGACCGCTGAAGAATCCGCATTGCTGTTTTTCAAACACTGGTACTGTGAGAATGGGTTAATGTTGGAAATTATCTCTGACAGAGACAAACTGTTCCTCTCATGGTTTTGGAAGGCCTTGCACCATCTGACCGGTGTCAACATAGAGATGAGCTCGGTGTACCATCCGCAGACAGATGGTGTCAGTGAATGCTCGAACAAAACATTGAATCAATGTTTACGTTACCATGTCTGGCAAAATCAGACGGGCTGGGTGGCTGTGCACTGCCACTCGTCCATTTCCATGTCATGTCTGCACTCAACGAGTCTACACGCACTACCGGGTTTCAGCTTTGTTTTGGCAAACAACCGAGGGCGCTCCCACCTCTGGCACCATCAACTACTGTCACTGAAACACCAGCGGACGTCCTGGCGTGCAACTTAATCGCACGCATGGAGGATGACATTGCATGCGCCAAAGATTGCTTGCTCCAAGCTAAGGTCCAACAAGCACATGCCACCAACGTGCACCATTCTCCGGAACTTCCGTATGCAGTGGGTGACTGTGTGATGCTCTCAACAACTCATCACAGGCACCTGTACAAGCAGGGTGATCCTGCTAGGGTTGCTAAGTTTTTAGCTCAGTGGGACGGACCTTATGAAGTTACCACCTCTCACCTGGAAACATCTTTGTATACGCTGTGTCTTCCCAAACACCTCCGCATCCATCCTGTGTTCCACGTGTCCAAATTGAAGCCTTACAACACCAACAACAATGAACTGTTCCCCGGTAGAAAACACACCCAGCCACCGCCTATCCTAAATGAGCTGGGTGAAGAGGAGTATTTCATTGACTGTGTCTTGGATGAGCAGACAAAACATAGGAAGAAGAAATACCTCGTACGATGGTCCAGTTACGGCACAGAGCACGACGAATGGCTGCTGGAGTCAGAACTTGCCGATGCTGAGGCTCTCGACAAATGGTTAGCACAACAATCACCCTCTGTGCGGTAGCATTTTTCCCTACAGGGCTTTTGACGCACCTGTTGCCTTGTGCTAACCTTCTCCCCACAACCCAGTCAATGCTTTGGGGCATGTGGGAGTGTAAGCCCGTCTGGCTTACAGCACTTACAATAGATATGCACTTACCATATTAGTAGCTCACGTTGCCCCATATAGGCAATGATGTATGTAGATGCGGCCACAAGATGCTTCTGTGATTGTTTGTGGACGGGGATCCTCTCTTACTCAAACCCCTATCTTCTCCCTCTCACTATCTTATAAGGTCCAATGTACTTAAGAGCTAGCTTGCGGGCTAGTCTCCTGGGTAACAATATATCCTTAGTTGATATATAGACCAAGTCGCCGTCTACAAATGGAGCGGGATGTCTGCGCCGATTGGTGTCTCGAATTTGTTTGACTCGAGCTGCAATTATGCTGTCATGAGTAGTCATAGTTGCAAACTTCATCTTGTGGGCGTAGATGTGCACAAACTACTCATTAGCATCCACATCTTCCCATATCATTGCTTGCAGCATCCACCCAGATTTAAGCAAGAATGGTGCATATCCAGTGCTCTCTGATTGGGCCAAGTTTAGCGTGAATTCAATTGCAGGAAGCCACAACACCCAATCCTTCTGAGTGGGTGATATGCATTGCCTCAGCATTTGGGTGATTGTCCAATTGGCTCTCTCAGTTGAGCCGTCTGATTGCAGGTGGTACGCGCTCGACATGTGGTGTTCAACCCTAATGAGTGCATGCAGGTGAGACCAGAACTGGCTGGTAAATATTACATCCCTATCAGTGACTATGCAATAGCCTGAGGCATTCCGTGTAGCGTGTAGACTTCTGCAAATATAAGCTCAGCGACCTGTTTAGCTGTATAGTTTGTTCTACTTGGGATCAAATGTACCATCCCAGTGAGTAGATCGATTATAGTAGTGATTGCATCATATGTGGTGTCTTTGTCCTTCGATTCAGGTAGAGGTTCTACAAAATCGATTCCAACAGCTTCCCAAGGTGAGCTAGCTACTGGAAGTGGATTGAGAAGCCCATAAGGCTTCTGATTCGATGCTTCTGATTCGATGGTTTGCTGTGCTTGCACATCATGCAAGTGTCACAGTACTTAGGGACGTCAGGTCCAATGGATTTCCACCATACCTGCTCACAAAGATATCCTAACATCTTGGCTGAACCTAGGTGCACCAGCAACAAATGAGCATGTTGAATGGTGATTTCTCATATGCTCCGTCCCCGTACAATCACATTAGGTATGCATCATCACAGTGTTGTTCTCTTTTGGGAAGATTAAACCTCTCTGACAGAGAAGTTCTTGAAGTGCTTCAGATTTGCCAGAATCACCTCGAAGGAAGCATCTTAGTCATACCAATTGGAACAGGAACAGTGTTCCAAGGATCAGGTTGTAGTTAAGGATATTCATTACATCAAAATATTGGTCCTCGCTGATCTCCTGATACTCAAGCTTTGCAATGCATCCTAGGTTGACCTTGGCTCAAGATCCCTGTATGGCCATCTGTACAGGAAGGGGCTTATCCAGCTCGAAGGTTTTGAACCTCAGTTGATGGGCCAGCTTTGTCGACACAAAGTCTGACAGCAATCTGGAGTCTAGGAGCACTTGTACGGAAGTCCATACTCACTAGTGAGCCACTTGGGACTTAGAGAATACTTGTTCAAGCAATCTCTATTTTCAATTGACTGATTGACTCAGTTGATGGCACTTCAATCATGTATTAATGACAAGTCTCACTTCTAAATTTACTTAGGCAACTACAATTCCATAACTAACTGAACAGTTGTTACCAAGTCAGTATTTGGTAAGTAAGCAACCCTAGTCCATAACACTGGTATGACTTGTTCAAGACATGGTATGTGCTTTTGCTATGTGCAATGTGCAATACTTCATGCTGACTGTCATACAAGTATGGCAAGAACCCATCTGTCATGCACAAGGCTCTGTTCCACTCGGGCCAACTCTCACCCACAGTGTGCCTCCTGCTGTCTGTGCTTCATGCACAGATGGTGATCTGCCAACCCCACCAGCAAGGGCTGAGCCATTGCCTCCATCTTTGAGACAAGGTGGTGGTGTTTCAGAAGCAGACTGAGGGTGCATCATTGTCTTACATGAAAGAGGGCTTGGATGCTGCCAAGCAGCTTTTGTCCATCAATGGGATTGATGATGCTGTGAAGGCTCAGGTGAAAAAGAGTCATTAGATCTGTCACAGCCACTTCTAAAGTTTTCTTAGAGAACATAAATTCTTCCACTCTTCATCTACACATCATTATACCCTTATACACACTCCTTCACATAGCCATTCATTTGTTATGACACTTGCAATACTCTCTCTACTCTGGTGGAAGCAATGTTTGTACATTTCCTGTCCCAATTGACAGTACTATATCAGGCCATGATCTTGGCCAACCTAAGTACTCGGGCACCACCACCTCAGACGAGAACTATGCCTTCTAATACCAAACTAAGCACACCTGTGGCTTGCCGCTATGCACCACACCTACATGTCTACCAACTTCCAGGCTGAACCAATGGAGTTTGTGTGTAGGATGACAAATCAAAGTGATGGTACCCTAATATAGTAAGCACTACCTGAGTGCCCTTGCCCCAGACCATCATTTTTTGGCCTCACTCACTCACATTGATGCATCTTTGCCCGCCATACAATGACATTCTGGGTGCATGATAAGCCCCAGCAGCATGGCGACATCAGCCAGGTGAGTAGTGTGCTGATCATATCTCTCTTACAGGCGCATGCTTGACCACAAAGATGTGAGCAAAGCTCACCAGGTATGGTACGTAGGAATATTATTGCTGCTTGCCGTCTCACTGAATGTATTTAGGTATTTGATCTGTGGTAGGAGGAGACATTTTGGAAGGGTGCTCATCTGCTGCTCATAGTAACAAGTGCAATGAACAGTGCATCGAACATGCATGATGATTGCATATAGGTTGGCACATCAGGTACACCCATCCTTTAGAATGTTCCCGAGCCCCATGGAATGTGATCTATGCCTGTACATGCTGAAAATATTGTTGTTGAAGGTCTCCGTGCATGAAGATGCACATCACCACCCATAGAGGAGAACACAAGCAGATCATGTGGATGACTCAGTGGTATATAGGCAGGAGGACACTTGCAAGTGCTCTCTGCAAAATTGCAACCGTACCGTACCTGCACTCCACAGCTTACATTGACAAGTACTGTATCATGGTTATCAGGCCAATGATGACTTTGACGACATGCCTGATCTCAAGACTATCACCAATATCAACGACAACGACAATGGGGACCTTGACAAGCTTGATGACAACAAAGATTCTTACCCTGTGGCTGGCAGTGGCATTCACAGGCACCTGCATAGTGCTGATGAGAAGGACAGCTCCTCAGAGGATGCACCCAATACTAGCAATGAGGCTGAGTCGGACAATGATGAAGACAAGGCTTCAGGCAATGCTGAAGATGGCCCCACCAGTGACACAGATGGCAAGGACAATGAAGACAATGATTGCTCCTCGGGTAAGCTTGATGACTCAGCACTAGCTGTGTTCATTGATGGTAAGACTTGGCAGGCAACGGCGGTGCCCTTGCCAGCAATGGCAGCGGTACTGCGGACAACATTGATGATGCTGCAAGGAACAAGGCTGCAGAGGGGAATCATCATGATGAAGATTTGGTGAATGAGGCTGAGACTGCTGAAAGCTCGGGTAAGTCTGGGTTGTGCTTGTTCACATACTTCTCTATTGACTCCCATCTACCCATAGACCATGAGCATACCAGTGGCCCGGAGGCAGCGCATGCCTGTTCCCAGGACCCATTGGGCCTGGTGGAGATGACTGGGGCACCGCGTCCAGTGATGCCAGTACCAGTAAGTGTTTTGTGTCTGCAATGCTATCTTGTTACTAATCAGTACTTGCAGATACCAACTTGGATCCTGTAGGGTCCAGCGCAAAGACACAGGAAGAGTGTATGCGTGCAGTGCTTGTGGCAGTGACAAAGTCCAGGATCAAACCAAATGGCCACCTGAACTACCCCCTTCATGTGGTTGCAAAGGACTATGGTGTCCCATGGTCCACTCTCACTGATTGTTACCATGGTAAACAGACACATCAAGAGGCTCCTGTCCATGAGTGCAAGCTCTTGGCATCCCAAGACGAGGTTCTTGTTGAATGGACCAAGGAACTGGGGTGGAGGGGTATGCCACTGTCCCAGCACTGGGGTGGAGGGGTATGCCACTGTCTGTTATGGTTCTGTTTTTGTTTATAGAAAGCTAGTTACCGAGTTTATTGCCGAGTCAATAGGAATAGTAACCTCGGTGATAGAGATTTGTATTGCCTATACAAAGCGGTAACAAACGGTAAAATCCTCGGTAATCTTCGGCAATGCAATTACCGAGACGGCGCAAAGTTGAGCTGTAATGAGGATACCAGATCCACAACAAATACAAAAGAGGGTGGGACTTTAGTCAGTGCTGCTATACAAGTATGCAGTACTGCCCTTCAACTGGGAAGAGTAAGCTAAGAATGGATTTGAGTCGGCAATGAATGGGGATTATTGCCGAGGTTTAGAGCTTTTCAGAATAGAGGATGAATTCTGAATACAGAGGATTAGTATCCAGAGGTTGATTCCGAAGGAATGGGCTTTTTTTGGTTTTGAAGTCACACAACAGAAGTTGAATGGAAGTCTGTACAGCTAGCTTTGACTGCACAGTGACAATGGCAAGTTACAAAACCCTAATGTAGCAGCGCGAGGCCGTGCTTCAAGAGGGACTCACTAAGGCAATTAATCCTCAACCAGCTAATGGCTATAAGGCTTGCTTTAGTGTCAAGTGAGTTGCTGGTTAGGCTAACCACTTTAATTATAGTAATGCCACTGAGACGTGCTAGTATGGAACTAGTTGATACAGAGATCTATTGATGTTGGTAACAAGTTTACAAGATGAGATGATGACTAAGCACCTTCTCTTACTGAACCCAACTTGTGAAGTCAGTCAATGGGTTACTTAAACCTTACTAGTAGTGCGAGGACTGTGCTAAGTAAGGTTTCACTATCGCAGGTCTTAGAGCACGTTGGTAAGAACTCGGCAAGAGTGGTTGAGTGGCTAGTATGGCTAACTTAGCACTCGGGACAAAGTAAGACTTTGAGTGGCACACAGGGTGTGTTTTGGTGAAGAGTAGATGGTGGATTGGATGATAGATGTCCTTGACCGTGCTCGGGAATGCCCTTTTATGCCATTACCGAGGACACAGCCAATGGAGCTACATGGAAGTATATAGAAAATCAAGGAATGTCGTAGAAGTGTATAGTACATGTCCTTGACTCATTTACACCGCTCCAGAGGCCATTCTAGGAGAACAATAGGATCATAGCCTTACACTTCATTGTTTCCAACAAGGCAAGCTATGTTACCGAGTCATCCTAGTACAGCCACAGTACAGCCACTGTTTCAGGACTGTGATTCCCGAGGCATTACCGAGGCATGCAAGAGTCCGCATTTTCGGTGTACAGCCTAAGGATAGCACAGCCATTCAACATAGCTTCAGGAATGGCTCGGTAATTGTCGCACAGCCATTCCTTTCTATGCCGATACAAACCATTATAACTCGGTAATTGATCGGTAATAACCATCATTTACCGAGCATACAATAGCTCTTGTATCAGTACTGAAAGCATCTGGTCATAATAAGTAAGAACACACACTAGAAACTCAGTAATAGTCCGTTTAGTAGATACAGTAACAAGCGCTTCTAAAGCATTAAAACGTCGGTAATCAATACCTCGGTAATAAAACAATGAAAGCGCTACATTGATGTCCATTGAGAGGAATAAAGGAAAGATAAGGAGAGTAAGATAAGCACATAACAAACCTTCACTGATGCAGCCACTCGGTAAGTAAACACTTCTAACGAGTTTCTGTGCACTCTGAGGCTATCAAGCCTCTATCCCTAACACTGTCCCAGCAATCTGTCCTCGAGCACACATCCGCTTCAAGTGTGCTGTGCACAGGCACTGAACTTCCCCAACGTTGAGAAGTACTTCACAATTGTCAAGGAGGTCATTTGAGAGGTACAACATTCCACCACAGTACATTTACAACATGGACAAGAAGGGCATCCAACTCGCATCATGGACTGTGTCCGTGTTCTTGTTGACTGCAACCAGAAGACTGTGTACAGCATCAAATCTGGTAACCATGAACTTATTACAATCATTGAGGCTGTTTGTGCTGACGGCACAATGAATGATTCTTCAAGGCAACACAGCGGAACTTGCAATGGGGCAGGGAGAATCCAGCAGACACTAGGTAAGTCCCAAACCTGTCTCAGGACATCTCTGGGCATCTGACTATTGCATATCATATCATAGCAGTCTCGCATAATGGGTGGACGGACCAGGAGCTTGGTGCACAGTGGCTCGAGAATCACTTTGAGCCAGAGACCTCACGCCACAATGTCTTGGGCTGCCACCGTCTTCTCACTCTTGACAGCCACAATTTGCACTGGACATACCAGTTTTGCAGGTTTGCTGAGCAGCATCTCATTGAAATCATCTGTCTACCTCCTCAGTGCTCCAGCCCTGTGACATCAGTGTCTTCGGACCATTGGCCAAACATTGGAAGAAGGAGGTTATGCTCCTTCAAAGGAATGATGTAGCTGTCTCTAAAATGAATCTCTTGAGGCACTACAGAAATGTGCATGCGGATGCATTCTGGGAGGCGACAATTGTTTCCGCCTTCCAGAAGACCAGGATCTGGCCGCTGGATCCCTCAGTGATCTTGGATATGCTTATGTGCCAGCTCAAAACACAACCACACAGAGTGCATGCATTGTTCGGAACACCTTATTGCTCCCATCTCTCTTGGTCCCACTCTTGCAGCAGCACAGTGCACTATTGAATCCTGCTCTTGGCTCTACTCCCCCCTCCCAGTCAACAACCATCACTACCACTGTGTCCGCCCCTGAGTCTGGTCCTTCCTCTCTGCTGTCACGTTGATGGCAGATTGTGCCCTTGCACCTGTTCAACAAGTCAGCTTTATCTTGGCTGGCCTCCCTTGTACCCTCCCCACCAATGCCTCACGTGCAGCTCTCCAGAAGCAGAACGAGGAATTGCACACCATCTTGAGCACATTGGTCACGCAGGTGCAGCGCAATCATGCAACAACGCTGCAGCTCAAAGACCACGAGAACACATCGCTGTGTCAGCAACTGCATACAAAGTCCCAGAACAAGGGCAGGAAGGCAGCAAAGGCTGCTCCCTCAGGTCAGGCCCGGCACATGACGGAGAGCGTGGTCCTCACTGAACTTGCAAAGGCGGACATAAAGGGGAAGCTACAGGACATTTTCACAGACGCAGCAGGCCAGTTCAAACAGCGCCAGAAGCAGATCGCTGTGCATCGCAAGGCCAAGATTACAGCTGTGAAACAGAACACCAGGGAAGAGGAGCGTAGGAAGAAGGAGGAGGAGCACAGCCAGAAGTAGGAGGCAGTGGCGGCAGCAAAGGCAGTCAAGGAGCACAAATGTGAAGTAGTCTGTATTGCTAGGGCAGAAGCATCCAAAAAGTGTGTTGTTCTAGCTGCAGCTGCATGCACGCTGAAGGAGGAGAAGAAGAGGAAAAAGGAGTTGAAGAAGCAGGAGGCAGCTTTGGCGGCAGCAGTAAAGAAGGTGGCAGGGGAGGAGAAGGCTGCTGTGAAGGAGGCAAAGGTGGTGGCAGCCGCAAAGGCAAAGTCGAAGTCAAAGGGAAAGGCTACATGCCAAGCCCCTCCTTCGAGTGATGGTGCACACAATGTGGATGATGTCATGACTCCTTTGCTAACAGGATTCACACATGATGATGCCCTTCCTGCTAGCCCACTGCCACATCTGCAAGTCACTCAACAGCCTCACGGTATCTGTCCCCATCCCCAATGTTGTGCAGCAGCAGCTATGGACACTCCAAGTCAGCCTGTGGCTGGTCCTTCATCCTCTGTCCATCAGCCACTGCCAGCCTGAGGCACCTCAGCCGTTCATGGCTCCAACCCCGCACACAGCAACTGTGTGTGACACAGAGCCCCTTGGAGGTGCTCAACATTGCTGCAGTGGCTTGCAGCAATGGTCCTTCAACCGAGTTGGAGGTGACTATTGCACCGGTTTTGCCACTAGCGATGCCCACTCCATGCTGCAATCCCCATCATGCTCCACCTCAGTGTTGGCTGCAGTGTGCCTCAGAGCGATTCCAAAGGCCTAAGTCGAGCTCTGTAAAGTCTTTATGTACAAGAAAGCGAAGATACACACCTAAGTCGAGCTCTGTAAAGTCTTAGGGACTTAGAGCTTGACGAGGCGGACTGTCTACGGCCTGTGTTACGTAATACAGCCACATCTGTATAGTAGAACAGCCACAAAGTCGAAATCAACAAACAAGTGAAAAGCTCGTGAGTGCAATGGTTCAAATCCCAGAAGTGTCAAACATTATAGAAAATGGTAGACTGAAGGGAAAGAGGTCGGAAAAAGTACAGTATGCACGGTACAGTAATGGCGTCCATGTAGAATAAAGGAGAACATACCAGGACGCATATTATGACTTGGACAGGGCAATGGAGCTCAGAAGAATCTGCAGAAATGCGGAATCAATTCGAGCTCAACACTCAGAAGAGGCCACGAGGTTGCGTGTATCACATCCCCCATCAATTTTGTTTGCTCTTGGTGTGCTGCTAACTCTCTGTCAACTGGATTTTGCTTGCTCCTTGCCGGCACTTCTCAAGGTGCTTATTCTGTACTTGTTCCTAACATTATTCTGAGCTGTGTAATACATAGTACCTGCAGGTTACTACCACGTCTCTACACTTCGAATTGGAGGATTATGTTGTGCCCAAATGCATAGGGCCTCTCAGAAGGCTAGGGTGGCCGAGATCATGGCCTAATATAGTATGCTGCCACTTCCTCTTGACCCTCAACATCAATGCCTTCATCATCCCCCTCAAGCCCAGGGAAGTGCCCCTTTAACATCCCAAAAGCCTGCTTGACACGTACCCAGTTGAACATAGGCATATGTTGGTGTTGTTTGGGTGTCACTTGGGCCACTTCAGGCTCGGTGAAAGGTCACAGAATGAATGGGGAGGAGTAATATCCTGTAGAGCATTTTAATACATCATCCACAGGTGTTCAAACATGACTCACCTTTGTCAGCAAGCACATACTCTCCCAGACCAAAGAACTCGTGTTGGTGCTCCCAAATGAATGACTTGGTCCAGAGTGATACATCAGTCACATTCCCTGGCCACCCAAGGTCAACATTGATGAACTGACAAAGGTGAACAACTGGACATTGATCTAGTAAAATGCATCAAGTTTGGCATGGAAGTCATAGATAACACTTGAACAGGTATACCTCAGGAAATTTGCAGGGTTCATCTAGCATGCCAATACATCGTGCAAGGTGTGTTTGCACATACACCCAAGCCTTCATGGTGGACCGATCTGACCAGCACAACCCCAAAAAACCCAACTGCAATAGAGTTGGATGGTGCCAAAACCAATGCCCATCTTCTGTGCAGCATCAAGGGCATCACATCTGTGCAAGCCAAAACGCATAAGAAAGGATCCAAGCTGGTATTGTACAGGTTGCTGTGGCTTGTGCCCACTTGACTGAAAGATATCAAGTGTTTCAAGCCACGTAACAAGCCACTTGAAGGTTGTGTGGCTCATACTATGAAGGGCATGACATAAAGACCAAATTACAACTACAAAGGACATACCAGAATGTGTGTGTGGCAAAACCAGAAATCAGGATCCAACAGTGCCATTTCATAGTGCAGAGCACGGGTCACATGAACCTGCATGGGCACCAGGTATGGGCACCAGGGGGTGGTACAGTTCTCTATTTCTTTGACCCATACCTGCACCTATACCCATGGGTATACATACCATTTCCAGAGGCCCTGGATGGCTTAGGAGAGTTCTGACCTACATGCCTGGTATTTTGAGAATGGAACTTTTTTCTATCCCCACGCAATCCCCAAACATTGGTCAGCATCTCAGACATGTTGCCAAAGCGCACTGCTTCCAGCCCTGAGCAATTTGGTCCAGTGGGCAAGCACACGTGAAGGCTAAGGGTTTGCTGCCACCACCAAGAATACTGGAAAATCAAACAAGACCTCCAGCAGGCACACCTGGAGACTACTTCAACCTCATGAAGCACCCGTGCAAACCACATGCATGTGTCAAGGACTTCCCCAAGGATGATGATGACTCCAGCAGTGATGGAAAAATCACTGTGGCAGACCACAGTGGTCACCACAAGCCCAGAGCTGGTACACCAAAGCAAGAGACAGCTAACAAAGAACTTGGTGAGCACATTACAGTCATCAACAATGAGTCATCACTCATCTAATTCTACAGAGCACTTGAATAAAGAATGGACTCTGCTGGTCTATGCTTTCTACAAGCCCAACATCACTACCAGAACTGATAGTGGTGAAAAGTGTGCGCACAAGTTTCATTGTGCAACCTGTGGTTGCCCAGAGAGTGTCTCGCATTGGTTGGACCAAAAGGATGGGAACTCAACAAGGTATCTGCAAAAGCATGCAAAGAAATGCTGGGGAGAAGAGGTGTTAGCTGTGGCAGACATGCTCAGATCAACTAAGAAAGCATGCAACGGCATGAAGGCATACTTGTACTCAGGTGAACAAAGAATGAAACTTGGTCAGTATCATTGCCTATCTGATAATATGCCAACCAATAAGACTCACTTGAGCACCAGTGTGGAGATTGTCAACTGGGTGTCCAAAAGCCTCTGACCATTCTCTATTTTTGAAGACATGTCATTTCATGCCTTGATGAAGACTGGCCACCTGGAGTTTTGGGATCCAATTGCAATGGACTGTTGTGTACAATTCCACAATGTGTTCACTTGCATGCACACTCACATTAGACAGATGCTCCAGGTCAGTACATGTTTCACTTCTCACCTAAACAGACATAGATGAGTACATATCTTAGGATTACAACAGCAAGCTCAATTTTGCAACTGATTGTGCACCTCTCCCCACTTCAAGCATAACAATGCCCTGCTGTGGATTGTGCTTGACATCGTAGAGCTTGCAAAGGCCCACTTGGGTATAAACCTTGCCATTGTCTTTGCGGACACACTCAAGAGCTTGGGATCAGGGACAAGGTCAGTACATAGGTGCAAAAGCAAAGCAGGCACTCACATGTGTGCATGGCATGGATACTCGCAGTCAGTGCTGACAATGTGTCAGCAAATGATATGATGATTGACAAGATGGGGGAGCTTGTTGAGAGCTTCCAGGGGCAGAGTGGACATGTTTGCTGCTTTGATCACATACCAAACCTGGTTGTCAAGACACTCTTGAAGCAGTTTGATGTTACTCCACACCATGGAAAATGCCACTCTGGATGTGATGGAGGTGACTCTGCAAGAGCTGGCACAAGACTTGCTGGGGAGTGGGCCATGTCTGGCAATATGATCCCTTCAGTTTAAAATCTCAGAGCAAGCAGGCCACATGTCTAGTACTGTCCGTCACATCTGTACTACTACCACCTCCATCAGCTCCAGACAGTCAATCTTGCATGTCTCCCACTCTGAGACTGCATTCTGAAATTCTGAACTTATTGTAGATGCCTTGATGACCCTGCTGTTCTTGTTCACATCCTGTACATCAGTGATTGAACTTAAACATGCAGGCTTCCCGACAGATGTGGTACCAAAAATATTGAGCTCATCTTCCACCATTTAATCTCCATGAATCCACATAATTACAAGTTTAAATGCCTTGCCCATGGCTAGGACATTGCTCAGGTAATTATTTCACACTCCTCAATGCATATATAATCTAACCTGTTTTGGTTATTGCAAAATTTTGATCATCTGTCTAGTTTGTGATCTGTGCCTTCATTATATGTTACTGTTATCTTCTTCATAACAATATCAGTCTGGCTACAAGCTATACAGCATTGCTATGACATGTAGCTGCAGGGTCCAGGCTGTACACCATGCACATAGTCCTCATTTGGTTATCCAGACTCCACAAAGCTTCAACTGAGCCCATTGTGATCTGTTGGGTGCATCATAGCTGGCATGCATTCCAAAAAATTAATTGCATAATTCTGAATACAAGTCAGTCATGTATATATCAGCATTCCATGCACGTAGTTGTAGATGCTACTGCTAAGTGGTGTCATGAATGGTCACTGACGGTGTTACATTACAATATTGCAACTTTATAGAGTGCATAGGCATGACATAGTGTCAGAACAGTTTACATGTAATGATTGCCTCTAGAGCTCAGGCATGTGGTATAGAAACTGTTAATGTAATTATCTCACACTTAAGGCCAAACATCACAGTCACAGAGGTAATATATTGCAAATTCAGCCGCAATGCGTGATATGGGATACTTGATACAGAAGACGGCAAAAAGCCAGATGCAAAGGCTAACCTACAAGATTAACAACACTGTTAAATGGAAAAGATGTCATCAACAGCGAGATCAGCATGAATGCTCCTTCTCAGCCAGCAGATTGTCAACCAGATTGCTCAGGTTCTGCAAGTGCCTTGTGAAGGACAGCCAGTTCCTCTTGATGAGATACTTCAAGACTTGCAGCGCCTCCATGAGCTGGGCACCAATGCAGTTGCGCTTTGGAGTGTCCATGTTGGCACTTGAGGAGAAGAGGTGTTTGCACAGCACCGACATCGCCTGGATTGGGAGGTAGCCCATGGCAATGTGCCACAGAATGGGCCACTGCTTCTTGATGTGTGGGTTCTGTCTAATATTTAGCTACTAGTGATAAAATACCAACCAGCAGAGGAGCACATCTTCATGCTTGGGCTCTCTGCCCTTGGCAACCCGCTCTGCATACTCGTGGTCCATGGAGTTGGCTTCTCACTGTGCTGGTGCTGACAACCAGTGTTGAATACGCAAAGCCCACAAACCTCATTTTACCTCCGCTGCATGCTGGGGTGTTGTTGTCGCTGAGGTTGGACAGCAGGAGCAGGGGCTTCAATGTCGTCCATGAAGTACTTCGCTTTGTACTTCCTCATCTGAGAGAAGCTTTGTCAATTATGTGACCAATTACGATCCCTGAGGTACAAAGGAATCGTTCTTACGACTGGAGGGCATGAAACGCCTTACAGTGACGCCCGATATGGAAGGAGTCCACGTGACTTTTTGAGGCCCAGATAAGCAAAGATAAGTAACTGATACTAATGTCCTATTAGTGGGACCTAAAATTTGAAACTCCCAGACAATGCAACTTGCACCAACAGATACAAATAAATGCTGTGGCTGGCTGCTCTGTCCTGGGGTGAGGGCCCACGAAACACCTTCCAGTGGTGCCCAATATGGCAACTGGTGGCTTTCATCATGTGACTTACAGGCTGGCTGGCTGCTGTGGCCTGCCAGTGCTCACACTGTATACAGTCAATTAGTAAGTAATCATAGTAGACATAGTATGCCCATCTGATAGCCATCCATTCAAAGAGTATACAGTAATATTCCTAAGCACTTACAGTGGCTGGTTGGGCTGGAAAGCGCAAAACAAAAAAATCCACATGTGCCTCTGCATAAGTCAAAGCACCTCTGTCTGCTCCAGATACTCACTGAATCATCAGGACAGTGACCTCATGCAGTTGAATGACTTTGTATGTGTCAGTTGCTTCTGTGATACAGCAAAGATGAGCAATATTGGGCAGTTTGACCACTAGTGTGCATATAATTGCTTATGTGTCATGTCTATCACTGACTTGTGTCATTTATGATGACCAACTGTACCTGTTTAGTTTCCTAATATATTATCAGGATTTTGCGCATTTTTACAAGCTCATAACAAGCCCATTTGCCCTGTATTAGCTGTGGTTTCCTTATTGGGCAGGTTGCCTGCTACTTATGGCAATACACACTTGTTGATCAACAAGTCATCTTGCAGTGTAGTCTCCCAGACTCTGTTGCAAACTGCTGCAAAAAGTAATGGTCCTTAATAGGATTCACCATTCTCAGCCCAGCGACAAGTTTCATTGAATCCAAAAAACCTCGAAATATTCATGCTAGTAGTCCTCATACTATAGACTCTATAACGGGTATCAGTTTGCTGTAATGTCCATTACTCATGCCACAATATGCAAAACAAAAAATGCACAAGTTGTCATGGTTTTCTTTACTTCGTGCACAGGATTCAAATAAACAACACAGCATATCCACATTTTTAGACCCACTGGATAGTGAAGTTGTATCATTGCTAGACTGCTGAATAAAAATGCAAAACTGGGAGATTGGATCCAGGGCAACTTTCATCAGACATACAGTTCATAAGGTTCCTTAGATAATATCTATGCAGGATAGCAATGACACTCCCTTAGCATACTGCTACTTTTGGTCAAAACTGCCCTTTTGAGTGTTACTGCTCTTCCATGGCCTTGATAAAATCAAACATATCCCAAAAATCTACAATGGTATGTGTCATATCATAGATGTAATCTTGGGTATCACTTTACCATGTAGCTCACTAATGAGGGCCCCATTTGCACATCAAGCACAGAGAATTCCGACTAAATTTGGTTTCTCTCCCACTTATCTGATTCATATAGCCATATATCATACTCACAGACATTCCATCAAAGTATCTGGCTACTATATGGGGCAGAAGGATTTCCCTGTGAGTTGGTGGTTTGCTAGTTGATCTGAGCTCAATAATCATTACAAAATTAGGGCTTGACAATCTTTGTGGTGTTGCTTCACAACAGTGATAGCTTCTGTGCAAGTCATAAGACTGCATTTGTGTTTGCAGCCCAATCCAATATTCAAGATGGCTACTACAGTGCTGCTCATGTGATTTCTGATAAAATATTGGTCGAAATAACTGACAATGGCTATATAGTGCTGTACCAATATTGACAAGTTGAAACTTGTCAACAACTTCATGCTGCCCACATTGTTTCTTGTGGCAACACCTCTATGTAGCATCCAATGAAAACCATTGAGTGTTCACTGACTTCACTACAGGGATTCCAGCAGCTATCTGTGTTGTACCAGGCAAAATGAAGCATACTTACATGTTGGATCAATACTATATAGGTACTACCACCAGAATACATCTCCACATTCCTATTCTGTCCAACCTATGCCTATATCACCACATAAAGGGTCACTCAGCATTGTGTACTTTATGCCAATGTGCATGCCATCACTCAAAATCAAAAAGAAATTGATGGGTAGAGATTCAATGAGAACACTGGCTCAATAGGGGAAGTCATAAATACATGTTTCTGAGGCAGATGGCCTTGGAGCTCATGGAAGGAAACCACATTGTTTTTTCATTAGCAAGTGGCTGTAACCCGCTGTTGGAGTCTGGGTTAGAATTAGTATAATACTTACTTCAAGGTAACCAGTTACTTGAAGTCGAGCAATAGAGTAGAGGATGTCTCCTTCGTTACAGAGGAATAGTTAACGGAATTGTATGTTTAAATGAATAGATTACCGAGGTATTCAATACTCGGTAACTCAGAAGGAAGCGTCGGTAATGCTTAAGTCCAGTAGAGCAGTTACCGAAGTGTCGGTAATCAATGATTACCGAGAAGCGATGTTAGAATGTTGATCAGTATGATGAACCTTCTCCGATGAACCCGACTCTTGTAGTCAGTTGAAGATACTTAGACCTTACTAGTAGCGCGAAGACTGTACTAAGTAAGGTCTCACAATCACAGGTCTTAGAGCACGTCAGTAAGAACTCAGTGAGAGTGGTCGAGTGGCTAGTATGGCTAACTTAGCACTCGGGGCGAAGCAAGTCTTCGTGTGGCACACAAGGTGAATTTCGGTAAAGAGTGTAGATGTATTGCCGCAATCTTTCGTCTCGTCTTATATACATTTTCTATGTCTCAATCCTGTACACTACTACCAGTCCAAGGCTGTCCTACGTACCGTACTTGAGACATGTAAGATCTCACAGCCCAAGTCCTCACCGAGCTAAGTCCGAAGTGTCAGCGCAGCCTCTCCTCGGTGATCCCTCGGCCTTGCCATTACCGACAGTCAATAGTCCTCGGTGTCTCGGCCCGTCATTCCGTCGGTATTGTAGTCTTGAAAGGGATTTCGGCAATTACCGGAAGTTGCCGGAAGTTACCGAGAGGTGTGTTCACCCAATCGTCGGTAATGCCATTGTGCTTACCTAATGAACCTTACCGACAATAGCGGAGCTTGGAACAATAGTGATGACTCGAGGCATATAAGTCGGACTTGGATTCTTAGAGATATCCATAACACCCGCCCTGCAGTTACTACGATACATCACTACGGACACTTACCTTACACAAACGTCACGGTTCCGCACACATACCCGTCACCATTCCTTCACGTTACATAAGCAATTCCCTTCATGTTTGGATTCACACCTTCAATGTCCTTTAGTCTCTACTATTGCACAATGAAGGTATGTACTTCAGTACACTGCAATATGCTTGTACTTATGAGTCTCTATCATTGCGCAACAAAGACACTTGGTTCCTGTTCTTGTTCTGAGTGATTACCTGGTGTTAGGGATAGAGGCTTGATAGCCTCAGAGCGCACAGAAACTCGTTAGAAGTGTTTACTTGCCGAGTGGCTGCATCAGTGAAGGTTTGTCATGTGCTTATCTTACTTTCCTTATCTTTCCTTTTATCCCTCTGAATGGACATCAATGTAGCACTTTCATTGTTTCATTACCAAGGTATTGATTACTGACATTTTGATGCTTTAGAAGCGCTTGTTACTGTATCTACTAAACGAACTATTACCGAGTTTCTAGTGTGTTCTTACTCATTATGACCAGATGCTTTCAGCACTGATACAAGAACTATTGTATGCTCAGTAAATGATGGTTATTACCGATCAATTACCGAGTTATAATGGTTTTGTATTGGTATACAAAGGAACAGCTGTGCTATCTTTAGGCTGTACACCAAAAATGCGGACTCTTGCATGCCTTGGTAATGCCTTGGGAATCACAGTCCTGAAACAGTGGCTGTACTGTGGCTGTGCTAGGATGACTCGGTAACATAGCTTGCCTTGTTGGAAACAATGAACTGTAAGGCTATGATCCTATTGTTCTCCTAGAATGGCCTCTGAAGCGGTGTAAATGAGTCAAGGACATGTACTATACACTTCTATGACACTCCTTGATTTTCTATATACTTCCATGTAGCTCCATTGGCTGTGTCCTTGGTAATGGCATAAAAGGCCATTCCTGAGCACGGTCAAGGACATCTATCATCCAATCCACCATCTACTCTTCACCGAAACACACCCTGTGTGCCACTCAAAGTCTTACTTTGTCCCGAGTGCTAAGTTAGCCATACTAGCCACTCAACCACTCTTGCCGAGTTCTTACCAACGTGCTCTAAGACCTGCGATAGTGAAACCTTACTTAGCACAGTCCTCGCACTACTAGTAAGGTTTAAGTAACCCATTGACTGACTTCACAAGTTGGGTTCAGTAAGAGAAGGTGCTTAGTCATCATCTACTTCTGTGAACTTGTTGTTACCAACATCAATAGATCTCTGTATCAACTAGTTCCATACTAGCACGTCTCAGTGGCATTACTATAATTAAAGTGGTTAGCCTAACCAGCAACTCACTTGACACTAAAGCAAGCCTTATAGCCATTAGCTGGCTGAGGATTAATTGCCTTAGTGAGCCCCTCTTGAAGCACGGCCTCGTGCTGCTACATTAGGGTTTTGTAACTTGCCATCGTCACTGTGCAGTCAAAGCTAGCTGTTCAGACTTCCATTCAACTTCTGTTGTGTGACTTCAAAACCGAAGAAGCCCATTCCTTCAGAATCAACCTCTGGATACTAATCCTCTGTATTCAGACTTCATCCTCTATTCTAAAAAGCTCTAAACCTCGGCAATAATCCCCATTCATTGCCGACTCAAATCCATTCTTAGCTTACTCTTCCCAGTTGAAGGGCAGTACTGCATACTTGTATAGCAGCACTGACTAAAGTCCCACCCTCTTTTGTATTTGTTGTGGATCTGGTATCCTCATTACAGCTCAACTTTGCGCCATCTCGGTAATTGCATTGCCGAAGATTACCGAAGATTTTACCATTTGTTACTGCTTTGTACAGGCAATACAAATCTCTATTACCGAGGTTACTATTCCTATTGACTCGGCAATAAATTCGGTAAGTAGCTGTTGTTAAATGAAAAACAGAATCATAACACCCGGTGTGCGGACAGTGGGCTTACAGTGGCTATATCTGTTGAATGTTTTTGATGTGTATTCTTTCTGTTTATCTTTCCTGTCAAAAATTGAAAGGTCATCATTGTATGCTTTCATTGTACTATGACCATGATATTTGGACACTGACATTTCAATGCTTTGAAGCACTTAACAATGCATATACTATCTGGACTATTAGTGTGACTGTTTCCCAATTTCTGTTGTGTTCCTGCTCATTCCAGTTGTGATAAAATCCTTCAGTACTGATATAGTTGCTGTTGTATGCTTGGTTAGTGATGATAATACTAATCAATTACTAAGTTATAATGGTAGACTCTATTTTGGTAACCATGTCAAGCATTATCAGGGTTTTCACAACATCTTACCGCTTTGAATAGCTCAAAGAGATCTATTTCACTGAGATTCAAATCCCTATTGACAGGGTGATTAACTCTGTGATCAGATGTCTAAAATTGAAGCTGAGATATGACAGACGGGAACTCAAAAAAGGCAGAGAATGTAAGAAAATATGTTCATTGACATCATCACTCACACTTGGCAGTTCTCTTATGACATCTGTTTGATCATCAATGGTTGATCGTAACATATGTATATGAAAGCCATCAATTTGCTGATTGTACTGTAGCAATCAGTGACTGATAAACACATCATAAGGCAACCTCCCTGTGCTCTAGATATGTCAGGCACACACCCAAATAATGAAACCATATGCCTGAGCCCAAGGGGCATTCATATGCAACTTAACTGTTCTGACACCACGTTGGCCTGCCTATGCACCCTCTAAAATGTGATTTTACATGTGACACCATCATAACTGTTCATGACACCAATCAGCAATAGCATCTGCTGAAATGGAGTGACTACTTGCAATGAATGCTGCTAGATATATGATTGACTCACTTGTGCATTCATTACAATCATGTAATTCATTTTGGATAATACTTGTCAGCTACCATGCACCCAACAGCATCACAGGCACAGATTATAAGATGGACTGAGGACCAAAATTGTGCAATAATCAAAACAGAGGGTAGAGAACATATAAGCGGTGAGGAGTGAGAAATGATTACCAAAGCAATGTTCTAGCCATAGGCAAGGCATTTGAACTCACAATTCTGTGGATCCATGTAGATTGAATGATGGATGATGGGCTCAATAGTTGTTGGTACGTAGATGGTACCATGTCTATAGGGAAGCCTGGATATGTAAGTTCAACCATTGTGAAGGTCATGAAGAAGAATAGCGGGGCTATCAAGGCATGTACAAGTCAGAATCCACAGTGAGAGATATGTAAGATTGGATGTCTGGAGCTGAGGAGGTAGTGTTACAGATATGAGAGTACTAGACATGTTGCCTGCTTGCTCTGAGATTTCAAACTGAAGGGATCGTATTGCCAGACATGGCCCGCTCCCCAGCAAGGTTTATGTGGGGCCGTATAGCTGGCCGTGGAAAAGGAAAGCCCAAGCTGAATGATCCCAACTTCCGGAATGTGTCCATGATTCTATCAAAGAACTCACACAGAGACCGCATCAATGAGCTTGGTGTGACATGATTTGCCAAGGATACAGGACAGACACTGGAGACATTCTATTCACTTGATCACTATGGCAGTCCAGATGAGGGTACTAGGCACAATAAATCCAAGAAGAATGCAGAGGTGAAGCACAAGGTTGACAAGATTTATCCTCATCTGCAAGAACAGCTCTGGATGCTGCCACACAAGGACACTAATAACCATCCAGGAAAGTTGTCACTGTGCATAGGACTACCTGTCATGATCAAGGCAAATGAAGCCACAGAATGCAATGTAACAAATGGTGCAGAAGCCATTGTTGTTGGCTGGGCATCTAAGCCACTAACTGGTGATAAGAGAATGCTTGAGGCTGTATTTGTAAAGCTCACAGCTGCGCCAACACCTGTGAAGTTGGATGGCCTTCCAGAAAATTTAGTGCCCATTGCTGCACAGTCTATGAAGATACCTTGTCTGATGCCCAATGACTGCACATTAACAATCCATAGGACACAGGTAGCATTGATACCCAATTTTGCCATGACAGCATTCAGCGCATGTAAAAGAAGCACATCACTATTCAAAAACCCCCGCCACTGCTATCTGAACATCCCTAACTTTGACGTCCACAATGCAGTGGTGCCCAGTCTGCAGCAGCCGCCTGTCCCTCCCAGCCTTCAACTCGGTCAGGCTGGCAATTCCTCTATCTTGCAACAACGGCACCCGCTCTTGCTCGATCTCTCTGATGCCACAGGGACCACAAGTTGCCCTTGATTGGGCTCTGAGCGTGCATCAAAAGTGGAAGAAGGTTGATGGCAGAGTTGCAAACACTGCACATATCTGCAAGACCTAGTAAAGATCTATCACCCATAGCACCCTTAGCTGCTGACACATTCAAGCAGCGGTCTGTGCAAGACCTGGGTGGTCCGCCTCCCAAATGGCGTGTATGAGTTCATGTCCGCGTACGCGGACTACTTCGGTCAAGTGTGGACCGATTATTTCTACTATTGGCCATACGATTATCCCAAGGATTCAAGTCTCCTTGGATGGGACGACGACTTGTGGGAGCAGGGTGTGGACATGATGCTGGCCACACACGAAGCGTGCTTGCGGGTGGAGGAGTGTTCAGGAATGTATTGAGCACGTCCATATCATCACAATCATAGAATTTTTGCTGTCCTACGCTATTGTACCCCCCATTTTGTCACAAATATTACATTCCCTTGCCCCAGTATTATTGTAACATCATGCACACAACCTACATTTGTCAGCCAGAACAACTATCAACCCAACATGCACAAAGAATATGAATGAGGAATGAGTACTTATCAATGTATAGAAGGGAACAAGCACCATAAATGGATCCCCGACTCCTCCCAAAGGGAGGAGGGCTTTCTCAAGATGAAACATCAACAAGCCGTAGCATGCCGCCATACACGTGGGAGAACTGTCCATAACAGGAGCAACTCTTACCATAACGAGGTGCAGTCCCGGCACCAAGCACACATGCTTTCCACATATAGCAGGTAGTTCCACTCCATCCCGGCTCCGTTGGCTGGATCTCAATGCAATGTCTCTGCAAGTATATATAAAAGTGTGTTATGAAGTTGCGACTCCAGTTTCTTTTCAACAAAGGATTGGGTGTGGTGTAACATAGACTAAGACAGTTTAGGTCAAAGTGGATACTGTTGGAACATATGGCCAAGCGCGTGCCCAAATACCGATGCGCTGCATCACAGTGCGATGCTACTGCACCTGCCATTCCCCTTAATGTACCTTCCCCATCAATTACGGACTTGTATATTACTCGCAATCCTTGTGTATTTACCCTTGCGTGTTTGTCTCCCCGCCCCAAGGATGACACAAACCGCTCCAGTACCTATTGATTCCTGCTGCTTACTCGTTCTGCCCGCTCGTTCCCACGCCCCGCCGCCGCTTACTTCAACAGATGCTGCCTTAGAGGCCCCGAGATGCCCGGGCGGCAAAGCCGCCATGGGTGTGAGGGCCTCCAGGGGCCTCCAAGTGAGTCTCACTAGTAAGTAGGCATCAACAATATTGAATGACAGTGACACCGGCTCGGTACCACAATATTTTATGAGGCACATAGTGGTATTGTTCTAATAGACTGTTTCCTGGTACTAAGTACTTATTGTTAGAACCTTATGCAGTCTGAATTTCCCAAGAGGAGTTGGGGATCCGTGCTTGCACCGCTACAGATAGATTAAAGCCTAAAAATAGGAGTTCAAAATTAGATGCTGGGGAAGTGAGGCCGTGCGTTCAGTAAATTTTCTCTCACTACAAACCACAACCCGCTCATCATCAGTTCAGCCTTACTATTTGTGAATGGATCCCTCTATTGGCACTGAGCAGTATCCAGACGTCATAGTTGAATGGGTACACCGGGTGGAAGCAGGTTTCACCCATCCCTTGGGCATTCACACTCTGCGCTCTCAAGCCGCTCTCGATGCCCAGCGCCTTGCCGCTGCCACTGAACCCAATGTGCCTTGGTCTCGCACCTAGTGAGTTTAAATATCATTAATCATTCCGACTAATTCACATAATATGATTGCCACAACAGTTCTACCTACTATGAATGCATAGTCACCTATGCTGGAGGGGTAGAATTCTCATGCTGTTATGTCAACGGTGACGGACACCGCCTCTTGTGCAGCATACAGTTCAATATGTCGTGTGCATGCCAACTGGTGCAGCTGGAAATAATTGCAGGAAATGGGCAGTGGTCATACTACAAAGATGAAGTCCCCCATTCCCAATGTAGCACCAATTGAATTCCCCAAGTATGTGTAGATTACAATAGGTGCAAGAATGTCATTTTATGAATCAGTGGTGATATACCAGCAGTCAGTAAGCTCAACAAGACACTCAATAAGCAACTTTCCAATGGAAGAGTGGCCCAAACAGTGGGTGCTAATACAATATACCCCAATCTCACACAATATACTGTGTAGCAACTCATTCTGTTGTACTGTGTTAATCAATACTGACAGTATCTAGTATCATCAATACAGCAACCCCCAGCAAACACTATGATAGCTTGTTAGTGTCCCTACCCAGTGAACTACAGCAGAAAACAATGTGAACTGACACCAAAGGGATCATACTGCCAGTAATGGCCCTCTCCCCAGCAAGTCTCTTACTGAACCCAACTTGTGAAGTCAGTCAATGGGTTACTTAAACCTTACTAGTAGTGCGAGGACTGTGCTAAGTAAGGTTTCACTATCGCAGGTCTTAGAGCACGTTGGTAAGAACTCGGCAAGAGTGGTTGAGTGGCTAGTATGGCTAACTTAGCACTCGGGACAAAGTAAGACTTTGAGTGGCACACAGGGTGTGTTTCGGTGAAGAGTAGATGGTGGATTGGATGATAGATGTCCTTGACCGTGCTCAGGAATGGCCTTTTATGCCATTACCAAGGACACAGCCAATGGAGCTACATGGAAGTATATAGAAAATCAAGGAGTGTCATAGAAGTGTATAGTACATGTCCTTGACTCATTTACACCGCTTCAGAGGCCATTCTAGGAGAACAATAGGATCATAGCCTTACAGTTCATTGTTTCCAACAAGGCAAGCTATGTTACCGAGTCATCCTAGCACAGCCACAGTACAGCCACTGTTTCAGGACTGTGATTCCCAAGGCATTACCAAGGCATGCAAGAGTCCGCATTTTTGGTGTACAGCCTAAAGATAGCACAGCTGTTCCTTTGTATACCAATACAAAACCATTATAACTCGGTAATTGATCGGTAATAACCATCATTTACTGAGCATACAATAGTTCTTGTATCAGTGCTGAAAGCATCTGGTCATAATGAGTAAGAACACACTAGAAACTCGGTAATAGTTCGTTTAGTAGATACAGTAACAAGCGCTTCTAAAGCATCAAAATGTCAGTAATCAATACCTTGGTAATGAAACAATGAAAGTGCTACATTGATGTCCATTCAGAGGGATAAAAGGAAAGATAAGGAAAGTAAGATAAGCACATGACAAACCTTCACTGATGCAGCCACTCGGCAAGTAAACACTTCTAACGAGTTTCTGTGCGCTCTGAGGCTATCAAGCCTCTATCCCTAACACCAGGTAATCACTCAGAACAAGAACAGGAACCAAGTGTCTTTGTTGCGCAATGATAGAGACTCATAAGTACAAGCATATTGCAGTGTACTGAAGTACATACCTTCATTGTGCAATAGTAGAGACTAAAGGACATTGAAGGTGTGAATCCAAACATGAAGGGAATTGCTTATGTAACGTGAAGGAATGGTGACGGGTATGTGTGCGGAACCGTGACGTTTGTGTAAGGTAAGTGTCCGTAGTGATGTATCGTAGTAACTGCAGGGCGGATTACAGCCACTTGCTAATGAAAAAACAATGTGGTTTCCTTCCATGAGCTCCAAGGCCATCTGCCTCAGAAACATGTATTTATGACTTCCCCTATTGAGCCAGTGTTCTCATTGAATCTCTACCCATCAATTTCTTTTTGATTTTGAGTGATGGCATGCACATTGGCATAAAGTACACAATGCTGAGTGACCCTTTATGTGGTGATATAGGCATAGGTTGGACAGAATAGGAATGTGGAGATGTATTCTGGTGGTAGTACCTATATAGTATTGATCCAACATGTAAGTATGCTTCATTTTGCCTGGTACAACACAGATAGCTGCTGGAATCCCTGTAGTGAAGTCAGTGAACACTCAATGGTTTTCATTGGATGCTACATAGAGGTGTTGCCACAAGAAACAATGTGGGCAGCATGAAGTTGTTGACAAGTTTCAACTTGTCAATATTGGTACAGCACTATATAGCCATTGTCAGTTATTTCGACCAATATTTTATCAGAAATCACATGAGCAGCACTGTAGTAGCCATCTTGAATATTGGATTGGGCTGCAAACACAAATGCAGTCTTATGACTTGCACAGAAGCTATCACTGTTGTGAAGCAACACCACAAAGATTGTCAAGCCCTAATTTTGTAATGATTATTGAGCTCAGATCAACTAGCAAACCACCAACTCACAGGGAAATCCTTCTGCCCCATATAGTAGCCAGATACTTTGATGGAATGTCTGTGAGTATGATATATGGCTATATGAATCAGATAAGTGGGAGAGAAACCAAATTTAGTCGGAATTCTCTGTGCTTGATGTGCAAATGGGGCCCTCATTAGTGAGCTACATGGTAAAGTGATACCCAAGATTACATCTATGATATGACACATACCATTGTAGATTTTTGGGATATGTTTGATTTTATCAAGGCCATGGAAGAGCAGTAACACTCAAAAGGGCAGTTTTGACCAAAAGTAGCAGTATGCTAAGGGAGTGTCATTGCTATCCTGCATAGATATTATCTAAGGAACCTTATGAACTGTATGTCTGATGAAAGTTGCCCTGGATCCAATCTCCCAGTTTTGCATTTTTATTCAGCAGTCTAGCAATGATACAACTTCACTATCCAGTGGGTCTAAAAATGTGGATATGCTGTGTTGTTTATTTGAATCCTGTGCACGAAGTAAAGAAAACCATGACAACTTGTGCATTTTTTGTTTTGCATATTGTGGCATGAGTAATGGACATTACAGCAAACTGATACCCGTTATAGAGTCTATAGTATGAGGACTACTAGCATGAATATTTCGAGGTTTTTTGGATTCAATGAAACTTGTCGCTGGGCTGAGAATGGTGAATCCTATTAAGGACCATTACTTTTTGCAGCAGTTTGCAACAGAGTCTGGGAGACTACACTGCAAGATGACTTGTTGATCAACAAGTGTGTATTGCCATAAGTAGCAGGCAACCTGCCCAATAAGGAAACCACAGCTAATACAGGGCAAATGGGCTTGTTATGAGCTTGTAAAAATGCGCAAAATCCTGATAATATATTAGGAAACTAAACAGGTACAGTTGGTCATCATAAATGACACAAGTCAGTGATAGACATGACACATAAGCAATTATATGCACACTAGTGGTCAAACTGCCCAATATTGCTCATCTTTGCTGTATCACAGAAGCAACTGACACATACAAAGTCATTCAACTGCATGAGGTCACTGTCCTGATGATTCAGTGAGTATCTGGAGCAGACAGAGGTGCTTTGACTTATGCAGAGGCACATGTGGATTTTTTTGTTTTGCGCTTTCCAGCCCAACCAGCCACTGTAAGTGCTTAGGAATATTACTGTATACTCTTTGAATGGATGGCTATCAGATGGGCATACTATGTCTACTATGATTACTTACTAATTGACTGTATACAGTGTGAGCACTGGCAGGCCACAGCAGCCAGCCAGCCTGTAAGTCACATGATGAAAGCCACCAGTTGCCATATTGGGCACCACTGGAAGGTGTTTCGTGGGCCCTCACCCCAGGACAGAGCAGCCAGCCACAGCATTTATTTGTATCTGTTGGTGCAAGTTGCATTGTCTGGGAGTTTCAAATTTTAGGTCCCACTAATAGGACATTAGTATCAGTTACTTATCTTTGCTTATCTGGGCCTCAAAAAGTCACGTGGACTCCTTCCATATCGGGCGTCACTGTAAGGCGTTTCATGCCCTCCAGTCGTAAGAACGATTCCTTTGTACCTCAGGGATCGTAATGAAAGGCGGATACGTACCTGGTAGGCCACAGCGCTCTCCACCTCGTTCTCAATGTGGTCCTCGATTTGCCTCATCATCTCCTTCCACCGCTTACCGAGCGAGCCCATTGTCACCACCGTGTTGGGATCGCTGTGCCACGGGGTCGTCTGGCTGGCTGTCATTAGGGACCACCTCGGGCAGCTGTCTGGGGTTGCCCGCCCTACTCTTCCCTTTGGCCTCGACGACCTGCAGCTGGTCGATGTCCATTGCGTCTTCTGGTGCATCAGGCCTGCTCGCCGCACTGGCAACCAAGGTGCACAGGGGCTGGTCGTCTGCGGAGTCTGAGTTGATGATGATGGTCTCGCTCGCCTCAGGCTGGAGGGCATGTGTGCTCTTCTTCTCAGATGTCTTCTGAGACACCTTCACGTTCTTCGCATTGAGGGGCCCAGGTGTGCAGATGTCTTTGCCAATGACAGCTTGGCCTCCTGCGTGGCGTCGACTTTGGTGCACTTGTTTGGCATGGCTGTCGCCAATTTTGCCAACATCCTGGAGATGGGTGTGGCGATGTTCGTCTTGGACTTTGTGTGTGTCTTCGCCTTGCTGCTTTGCAGAGCACGACCAATGTTGTTGTCCTTGCCCGGGCTGTCCGACATGTCTTCGCTTGAAGACACCGCCACACGCTTGCGCGGGTCGATCTTTGGTGTGGCGGGGGCAGTTGTCGCACGCGAGGGGAAGACCTCGAGAGGAGGTGGTGGGAGCCGTGGTGTTCTGACGCATCTTGTCATCCATCTTGTTGCCAGTGGTGTATCGACCCTGTTGTTGGTCATTCACATAGACAGCCCTCCCTTTGTAGTGGTGCTTCATTGTCTTTAATCAGTGTCATCAACGGTTTTGCAGAGAGGCTTGTACTTACCATAATCTCACAAGGAGATCTGTGCCCAAGGGTGCAGGCATCACACTGGTGTTTGAGGCTGCTGATGATGCATTCAGCAAGGTTCTTCTTGCAGTGCTTGCAGTGCCACTTCCCGATGAACTGTAGAGAGTCAGCAAAGCACATGTTGCTGTAAAAGAAACTCACCCTGGTGTGCACCTCGTTGTTCTTCTCAGTTGCGGGGATGAGAAGAGTCCAGTCACCTTCCCACTTGGGCGTAGACTTGTACATGTCTGGGTCGTCATGCTTGGGCATGCCCAATGCCCTGCCCTTGCATGCCCTATGCACCGGATTGTTGTTGATTGTTTTTGCCCCTTGGGCCTTACCCTTGCCCTTGGGTCCCGTCAGTGATTCGTTGTACTCACTGTCTACGAGCTCATCTCCCTCCTCAACATTGTCCTCACTGTCCTTGGGGACCTCAACCTCGACCTTGCTGTCCTGCATGAGCACATCCTCACCTTCACCTCATTGCTGTCAATGTTGTCAACAGGCAACGCGCTTGCACAGGGCAGGGCCGGTCAGTCTTGACGCTCCCACACCTTGTTGGCCTCGCGTGCATGTTGTGCATAAGGGTGGTCTTTCAGGCAGCCTGCATGCATGTCAGTGGTGGCGGGGCTTGCACATTGTGGGAGGAATTCACCCGTCACCTCGTCATTGTTGTTGCAGTCATCATGGTCCTCATCACCAACTACATGTGCGCCATAGTCCTCACCATCTTTCTGCTCAAAGCCCTCTGGCTGCTGCATGTACACACATGTGATGTTGGCATGTGCAAGCCAGCCAGCCAGTAAACCTGTAAGGGGCTTGGTGAACTCCAGTGATGTCTGAGGGTGCCAACTCTGCATTCTTGGCCTTCTTGTTACCTTCCTTTTGAGCATTATGGTCATACCCACAGACATTTCACAAGAACAAATGATGAATGCCTATGTTCTGACTATTCAATGTACAATTACCATTGATATACAACTCATTTGATATGTCCTTCCATTTTGTGACTCCATACTTGCTGGTGTGTCCGGCTCCATCAAGACTCAAGCATCAACAGCAACTGCTTGTTGAGCCAGTTCTGCAGCAAGGTCTCTTGTGCTAGCTGCTGGCTCTCAGGAGCAGATACATAGACCCAAGTGAAGTGCTGATATGCTGAGTAGATTGCCTCAATGGGTTCCTTCTGGTTGGTGGTACAGTAAAGGTTCTTGATACACAACTGCAAGCAGTGATGCATGTGAGCAAATGGACCGGCCGCAAGACACTACTGGATCACATACCTTTACATCAAGTTGTAACTCGTCCTATACAGGGACTGACTCATATGAGCACTTACTGCCTTGAGGTTTGCTCACCAAATGGGTTGTCTAGTTTGAGGCCGACTGGAACAAGAATATTGGGTGTGAGCCTTCGGACCAGGGACAAGAAAGATGGAAATTGGGCATACCTCATTCAGTGGATGGGTACTAGGTGACAGGGATGTCATTTAAGAAGGGTTAATTATAGTTCATTAGTGAACCTAATCAGGATTAAATTGAGTTCCTTAAGAACTATGATCAGGTATTCATTCCGTTGATCATAGGCTTAGGGTGGTATGATTACCTCCATTAATCCATGTTGGCATGAAACCATATTATTCCAAATGAAGTCACTAGCCCTGACACAAAGGGCTAATTCTCTGCAAATCCCAGTCAATTTACACTGAATCATGGCATAATCCCAGTCATGATCATGCTTAACCAATTCATGACTCTTCATCCTAACATAATCCCATTATTTGGAATATCATAATCATGGCATAACCTCAGTGTTGATCCTGGTGAAATGGGCATAATCATGACATATGTACAATCCTAAAAAGTCATTATCAAGCCCTAATCTCAGAGCTAATTGATGGCAGGCATCATGAATGCCCATTTCACCAGGATCAACACTGAGGTTATGCCATGATTATGATATCCAAATAATGGGATTATGTTAGGATGAAGAGTCATGAATTGGTTAAGCATGATCATGACTGGGATTATGCCATGATTCAGTGTAAATTGACTGGGATTTGCAGAGAATTAGCCCTTTGTGTCAGGGCTAGTGACTTCATTTGGAATAATATGGTTTCATGCCAACATGGATTAATGGAAATCATACCACCCTAAGCCTATGATTAACGGAATGAATACCTGATCATAGTTTTTAAGGAACTCAATTTAATCCTGATTAGGTTCACTAATGAACTATAATTAACCCTTCTTAAATGACGAAGACGTAGGTGAAGTCATTGCAGAGATGGAAGAGCTTTCATTTCATGGTTCAGCAAGTCCTAGCTCAAGAGGAGGGGGAAGCACAATATCCCTGGCTGATTGCCAGAGCATTGCTGAGGAAGGTGCTCCGCTCCTGGCTATTTCCTATCACAACAGTCCACTCACTTTATTGAACCAGCGCGCTTCTTCAGTCGGATGGGACGTCATCACCGACCAGCTGGAAGCTCTTAGTGCTGCCCAGTGTTCGACCACTGACGCCCTTGATCAGCTCAATGGCGGGCTAGCCGCGCTCTCCACCACGGTTCAAGGTATTCAGGAGCAGCTGTCACATGGGCTGTACCTTCCAGACAAATATTCCGGCATTCCTTGTCGTATAGTCTTCGCCACGTCTAGGGGTTTGATGGCTCTCAATCCACGGCCCATGGGCTTCATGCGTAGCGTTGCCAATGCTGCTGCTGACCAAGAGGCTGGAGGGTCTGGAAGGAACATTCGTGACTCGAGCCCTTTGCTCAACTGACCCCATGTTGTCGTCTGTAACACCTTCTGTAACCGTGTGCTTGGCTAGTTGGAATGTATTCGGCCTGTTCATGTTCTGTTCCCCAAGTCCGTACTTCTCGGGGATGCCTTTGTTGTGCCGTACCGCCGTCCGCCCTGACGTGTTTGTATGTTGTCGATTCCATGCGTAGACCATGGGCCATGCCCACAGCGCGACTGTGACAGTTGTCATCGGAGGCGAAGTAACGATTGGCGGCTCTTGTATGATTCCCTCAAAACTGCGCAACTTCTTTTGTCGTATACATGGAGATGTTCCCCTCGACCTTGCGTAGTTCATTGTTGGCGGTTGTCAGCTTCGAGCTAATCAAATGTCAGATGTGTATACATCACTTGTGATCGGCCAACGTACTTCACTTTCTCCAGGCGATGCAGCGCAGTGAGGTATTCGAGCCTCCACATGACCTCAGGTGGCTCATTCTTGTGGCTATGTATATACTCCCTCTCCTGCTTCAGATACTCCTCAAAATCCGCAGGGCTGACCCTCAGCTCCATAGATAGCAATGCCAGGACACTACCATCATTGGTGATGATGTTGAGCGCCTGTCCAGACAAGAGGCAGGTACCAGCCGCAAGAGCGTTCAACTCAGAGAAACAGTGTTCGCATCCTTCAAAGTCCTCCTTGCCGACTCTGTCCATGTAGAGTGGGTGCCAGTTGACCTGGCAGCCATGATTATGGCCATGCCCGTGGAAGGCCGGCACAACACCTGCCATATGCAGACGATGAGCTTCCGGACCGAGGGAGCTCTGTGTGAGAGTCTTGGCGAACACACATGCGATGTCATACCCGACAAGGATATTGGGGTTGTAGACTTCCATGAGCTTGTGGACAATTGCAAGGGGATATTTCATGCTGGAAATGTCATCAAGATTGCTGTGCAAGACAAAGATCGCTGTACTTACAGTTTGCCACTCCGGATCATGTTGCAGAGGATAAGAAGTTGCCCGTGACGGCAAAGGCAGACGAAGATGCCCGTCTTGGCGAAGAGCGCAAACATCTTCTTTCGGGCTTCTGGGCCCGCATTTTGCCAGTGTTCCATGCGTACGTCGATTGAAGCATTGAGCTTGTCGCCGTCCTCACGGTTCAATAGGTCCAGCCATGCGATGTCATTGTTGTGGTCATAGGTAGTGCCAACACTCGCGGGGCCAGCCGGCAAGGCTGCATCAACGGACGCGGCGTCGGTCTGAACATTCATGCTCACGGCGCTGTCGGGCTAAGTCGAGGACTCAGCCATGAAGAAATAGAAATGAGCAATAACTCAACTTTGCTGACTTCATCCTTGAAGCGATTGACTTTGGCAGGTGACAACACATGTCCACGCGCGCCTCTTGCCCATCTGCACGCACTTTGCTGTTGCGAAAAGCATTGTCGATGAGCTTGAGTGGCAAACGCGGCGACGTTGATGGGGGCGCGCCCCCGGCCAGCAGAGGAGAGAAGGATAGCACTTGAGTGCTGGTTTGTTGTCAAGCTTGTACAGACATGGTGCGCAGGTGTTGTGCATGCGCCAGTCTGGGGTGTCCCTGCCTAACGTTGAATCAACAAGCTTATTGATGCGGTATTGAATATCGAGGTAGATGTCGTAGGCATCACAGAATTGCTTGACGAGATGCTTCAAGTGCTTGATAGGAATCTGTGCACAGCAATGATGAGTATGAGACAACAATCATGTTGTGCGACGTACTTGGTGGAGATCGCAGAGCAACCTCACAAACGCCTGCATGCTCAAGCGTGGACAGGCGTGGCAAAGCTGTTGATATGTGTTGAGAACCTTCAAAGAGATGGCGACTGTTGGTTTTTGCGGAGACGAGCCCAGGAAGCCATTGAAGACAAGTGTTGCGTTTGTGTATTGAGCAGCAGATACATGCTTGAACGACCGCTTTGATATATCTGACGATCAGCTGAGCAGGAGCCCGGATTGACAAGGACATGGTGGTTACTCACTGAAGAACTCGACAACGGTCAACTCCCACTCTGGGATGGGACACGCGCTTCTTCGCCTGACTCCTGAGCCTGAGGACCTGGGGCTTCATCACCCTGGCTTTCGTGTGTACGCATATCCGGCTGCTGTTGTGTCTCTGACTGCTGGCTGAACATTGCGTGAATGGCCATATGCTGCATGGGAGTACGTGCTATACGCGCTACTCACCTATTACTGTCCGCTCCTGAAGTGTCCGGGTCCCCCACCAAGGCTGCTTTCCACGCCAGATACATGTCCACAAGGACAGGCATCTGCGCCTGCCACTCTGCGCGAGCGCGCAGAAGGCGATCACGTCAGGTTCAAAAGTCATCTTGTTTCCTGACATGATAAGTATGGAAATGAAAGACAGAGCATGGCGGCGCACCATTTTGTGACAACCAAATTCTGGCATAGCTCTACATCTCCTCCGGCATTGCTGAGAAACATACCTTCCTTGCCGGGAGGCAGCAAGTACAAGTCTTCATAGTCGCCGTCCTGCTCATCTGTCCGTCCTTCTGCTGACGAGTCGACAGCGTTCAGGGAGTTGTACATGTCACAATCTTCAAATGGTAGACCTCAAAACAAATCATGAGCACCTAGCACAGCACAAGATTCAATCAATACTTACCTGCTACAAAAAGCGGCTTCTCTTCCTCTGTCTCCTCACTGCGTTCCTTCGAGCTGCTAAACTTGATGTTTTGAGTGCGTTTCCGCAAGCTGAAGGGGTTGCCTGAGGTCACAACAACAGAGGATGAGAGATAACTTTGTCAACCAGCCATGTGCGGCCATGCACGACGCAGTGTAGAGAGTGGCACTTACGCAAGGCGACTTGGACTGCCACCAGCATTACCTGATATGGAAGTCTGTGATGCACGTGCGGCTGTGCTCACGCCCTATGTGACAGTGACCCTCGCAGTGCAGCTGGCACGTGATTGCGGTTGCTAAGCACACAGGGAGCATGCCAGAGACATACAGTGGTGTAGGGGGGACCACCAGCAAGTGTAAGAGATGAGGGGAAACACTGACGGGGATGAGAAAGGCGGGTGGCGGGGAAGCGCCAGCAGGGACAAGAAAGGCAGGTGGCGGGGAAGCGCCGGTGGGGATGGGAGAACAAGGGGGAGCGCCGGTGAGGACGCAAAAGCAAGGAGGCGGGTGGCAGACGATGGCGAGAAGCCTATCATGTGACCGGCGGGGGCGGGAGACCGGGACGCAGCCAGAAGCACCTGCAGAACAGGTCCAGAGGGGACCTGCACAAGACCGAGCCATATTGGGAAGGGGCTCACGTGCACCAGACAGTGAGGACAGTCTCTAAGTCGACGAACTCCAAGGAAATCTTCACGGGTAAGGAGATTGGCAGATCTGGATACTGATTAAGATAGGCCGCAACCAAAGGCTGTCCATCACATGCGGTGGCGCACGTAGCGCCGATGCCACTTACACCGTATTTGGCAGAGGGACATTGTCAAATATCGACATTATTGCAGATTGAACCGTTGAGAAAGACAAAACAGAGTGGGCAGCTAGCTTACTAAGCAATGTCCCGAAAGAGATGAACGGCAGGCGCCGCTGCGAGCCACTCAACAAAAGCCTCGAAAATGCCCATGAGAAAACGAAAATTCCGTGCTGCCATTGCCAATGTACAAGACTGGATACCAAAAAGCGTGCTAAAACATCCCAACCACGCAACGAACCTGTAGGTACCAACAGAGGTGCCGGAGTGCTCGAAAATGACACATTATGGTCCAGACTCCTCCCTGCCCACAGACACCACCGTTTGGCGAGCCCGCTCTGCTTGATCCTGACATTACTCCGACCCGGCGCCGTGTCTATACAATGGCTGGGCGAGCATCAGAACACTTGCAATCACTTGCAGGGAGCATGCAAAGTGTGTTCTCCGAGATCACCAAACCTACATGGGGAGATCAGCAGGTTGCAACAGCGGGGACACCATGCATCCCAGACTCAGAGACGGGCTCGACAGCGGGATTGGAAGACAGCTTCCATGGACATTGACACAGAGCAGCCCAGCTCCCAGTCTTGATCGTCCAGTCCACGGCATGGTGTCACAATCGAAGATGTGCCTGACAAAGATGACACCTGTCAACCACCAAGTCTGGAGGAGGCCGGGACGCACACAAGATTCCATCCCGCCCCTGACGTCTCTGACACCAAAGCTGCCTGGCAGGATGTCCGGGATCTTCTCCGGCCCCGGCGGAAGTGTGGGAAGGGTTTCAAACCATTCCTCGGCGACAAGATGTTCAAATGTCGCTTGCAGATGATGCGTGCAACACTGCATAACTACACACGTGCCGTCGAGCCAATGCCATGGAAGAAGGCTTCCCTTGAAGCTGCACAGGCTCACGATAGTGGGCCTGGAACAGCAGAGTCTGTCAGACACTGGTGCTGAGCATACATTGCGGATCGGAACGACTTACCTCACAACCAGTACGGTACCTGGAACAAGTCGATCCTTGTGCATGACAAACTTTGCAGTGAGATCAGTCTTCATCTGCAGGGGGTGGGAAAGAACCGCAAAGCTGGAGATATCCTCGATGTTTTCAAGTCAGCCAAGGTACAGGAGAAGTATGAATTGGACGGCTATGTACCATTGCTTTCCACAGCACAGCGGTGGATGCATGAGATGGACTATCGGTGGGGTAGGGGCCCAAGAGGCCAGTACGTTGATGGCCACGAACGCAAGGACGTTGTCACGTACCACCAGACCGTGTTCCTTCCCACACTCGCCAGAAATGACGACCGCATCCGGACATACGACACGAATGGTGACGAAATTCCATACTCGGGTCCCCGGCCAATGAAGCATCGCTTGGTGATCTGGTTCCACGACAAGAGCACGTTCTACGCAAATGATCAACGACGTGTGTACTGGGTCCACAAGGACGAGAAGGCTGTCCCGGAGCCAAAGGGGGAAGGACCATCATTGATGGTTGTGGATTTTGTATCAGCGGACCATGGCTGGCTCGGAACTCCCGATGCAGAGGAGTCAGCACTAGTCTACTTCAAGGCTGGAAAAGATCAGGATGGATACTTCACAAACAAGGAGATTGTGGCACAGTTGGAGAAGGCCATGGATCTTGTCAAGAAGTGTATCCAGACGACAACCATCTCTTTATCCTTGACAATGCAACCACTCACCTCAAACGAGCAGACAACGCACTCTCTGCACGCAGGATGCCGAAAGGACCGAGCCCATCGTGTCCAGACACGCAGTGGTTTGGTGTCGATGTCAAGGTTAAAGACGCTGATGGGAGGCTGGTGTACGGTCCGGATGGCAAGCCACTGAAACACCGTGTCAAGATGGGCAATGCAAAATTTGCGGATGGTTCAACACAATACCTGTATTACCCCGACACCTTCCCCGAACATCCAGAGCTCGCAGGAAAGTTCAAAGGGATGGCACAGCTGCTGATCGAGCGGCATCCGGACCAGCGGGCCAAGATCAAGGGCCTGAGAATGGAATGCTCGAAATTCAAATGCCCAAGTGGATGCACTGATTGTTGCTGCAGATGCATGTTGTTTTCGGAGAAGGACTTTGCAGATGTCCAGTCTGTTGTTGTGGATGCAGGCGAAGCACACAGCTTTCCAGTCCTGTTCCTGCCGAAATTTCATCCAGAACTGAACCCCATCGAGCAATGCTGGGGTTACGCCAAGCGGCAATACCGTCGCTATCCAGCATCCTCGAAAGAGGATGACCTCGAGCGCAATGTTCGCACAGCACTCGCAACAGTCCCGCTGGAATCAATCCAACGGTATGCACTGTTGGGAACGCACTGCGATCTCCCGCCTCCGGCACGTGACATACCGCCGGGGGTATGTTTGTCTCACTCTCCCTCTCTCCCTCTTTCCTCACTCGGTTGTCGTACACGAGTGAGGTGAGACCTTTCATATCCCTAGCGTATGGATCGAAGACTAACATTGTACTTAGAGCGCTAATGCTAGTCTAGGTACAATGCTACTCGGTTGTCGTACACGAGTGAGAGCGCTAACGCTAGTCTAGCTTCTACAGGTTATGAGCCCTGGACGAACATTTTAAACGTCATCCTTGTACCTCAGATCTAGAACTTAGCCTTCTGCACGCTCCACGACATTGTCGCGCCCACTTAAGTGCGCATATAGGCAGTGTTTGGCCTGCTGATGACTGCATCGCAGCCTTCCAGTCCTCAGGGATCCGAAAACACAGATCATAAGCTACGCTGAGCATTCCAAGGTTTCCCCGGCTTCGACTCGTCAGATCAGCCCGACGTCCCCTCCACGGTACCGCCCACTCTGTTGCCCAAGTCGCCAATTGCCAGCGGCAAGAAGCCTGCAGCCCAGTCCGTCATGGCAACCAAGCAGACTATCTCCGTTATCACCATCCCTTCGTCTCTCTACTCCGGAGGCAAGGAGCTCGACAGCACCACCGGCAACTGGTCGGACTGGAAAGAGTACATGGAAATCTCCCTCTCCATGTGCCACCTGTGGCCCTACCTCTCTGGCGACATCACCTTAGCCGACACTGCCGACCCACTCTCCGCACTGCATTTCAAGGCTAACGACAAGGTCGTCAGTGCCTTCATTCGGTCGAAGATCTCGTGCGAAGAGCAGCGTTTTCTGGCGGACTACAAGGAGAAGGGAGCTAAGGCCATGTGGGACGCGCTCTGCGCTAGGCACGAGAAGGAGCCCGGCCCGTACGCTCAGGCCAAGTTGCTACAGGAGTTGTTCGCTGTGCGGTACATCGCCTCGGAACGTTTTGCCAAGACTACTGGGCGACTTCAGGACCTCGTCGAGCGCATCTTCACGATTGGTGTGCCTACCCCTCCGACACTTCTAACAGTGGCCATGCTTCACTCAATGGCTGGCTACCTTGTGCACCTCCAATCGCAAGTTGGCACAAACTTGACCTCTGCAAAATCGGCCACCGACTTCGGTGTCAAAGACATCATCAGTCAACTTGATCTAGAGCAACGCCTGATTGACGACAACAAGGCTGGCGGGGAACCTGCCGACACTCTCACCCTGGCAGCCCAGGCGCGCGGCAAGGGACGTCCTGCTGCTGCTGGGCCGAAGACTTGTCTCAATCCTAAGTGCCCGCGTCCCACCTCTCATGCGACTGCTGACTGCTGGGGTCCCGGAGGCGCCATGGAAGGCAAACGGGATGAAGTCTTGGCCAAGAAGAAGCGGCATGGACGTGAGACCGCGGCGGCTGCCGTTGCGCTCACTGACGCCTCTGGTTGTTCCTATGTACTCAACAGTTCCACCGGGCAGGCCTACCTCGTCACTGCCTCTCAGCCTCCAGCTACATCTGTGTCGCCGGCTCCCTCGTCTTCTTCGGACCTTGTTGGGCTCTCTGCTGACGTTACCCCGGAATGGCTTGCGAACGTGGCAACTCCGGAGGACGTTCGGGAATACCACGCGCATATCGCGGTCGCCGGTCCTGACACAGTCTCCCTGGACTGGCGCAAGAGTGTACGCGCTGATCTCGATCCCACGGCCTTCTCTGTTGCACCTGTCCCTACCGTCGCTCGTTGTGTCCCTGCGGTCGGGCCCGACCCTTTTGTCTTCGACTCGGGCGCCTCGACTCATCTGTCTCTGTGCAAGACCGACTTCCACGACTTGCAGCCCATTGCTCCTCGTGGCATCCGCGGTGTTGACGGTTCCATGATTCACGCCTATGGGATCGGGAAGGTTTGTCTGCATCTTGGTCGCGGCGCTTCTCTGGTTCTGCATGATGTGCTCTACGTTCCTCAGGCTACTGTTCGCCTCATCAGCATCTCGGGGTTATGCAACTCGTCGGCGCACTACGACGTCAACTTTTCTGGTCCCTGGCTCCGCATTGTCAAGCCCGGCGGCGCCCTGGTCGCCTCTGGCACTAAGACCTTTCGTCACCTGTACGCTCTCGATGGTCGCTCCCCTTCCACGGAGCATGCCTTGCTCGCCGCTCACCTCCCCACTCTCGACACTTGGCATCGCCGTCTCGGCCACGTTAACCACCGGGCTGTCCATGACATGGTCCGTCTTGGATCCACGTCAGGTATGCCTATCGCCCTCTCACCCACTCCGACCAAGTGTGAACATTGCATTCTCGGCAAACAGACAAGGACTGCAGTTCCTAAGGTCAGGGTTGGGCCGCGCGCCATGCATCGGCCGGGGGTGATTTGTGTGGACGTGCAGGGGCAGGAGGATGTGAAGTCAGCGGCTGGGAACTTGTATTCATTAAACATTCTTGATGATTTCTCGTCCTACACCTGGGCCATCCCACTCCCGTCGAAGAGTGCCGCTTTCCCCGCATTCCGCACCTGGGTCCTGGCGCATGAGGTCGAAACTAACGAGAAGTTGGGCGTCGTGCAACTTGATAACGGCAAACTGCTGTCCAACGCCTTCAAGGCTTTCCTTGCTGAGCGTGGTGCGTCACACCGTCTCACCGTGCTATATACATCTGCACACAACAGCCACGTGGAACGTCTTCATTGCACGCTCATGAATCGTGCGCGGGCCATGCATCTCGCTGCAGGCGTTCCGCCCAACCGGTGGGATGAGTTCCTCCTCACTGCCAATTACCTGTCCATACGGACACCCTCACGCTCACTTCCAGCGGGCAAGACGCCTTATGAGATGTGGCACAGTTGCAAGCCTGATCTATCGCATCTTCGCAAGATTGGCTGCCGGGCTTTTGTGCTCATTCAAAACCGGCACAATCCTAAGATCTACGAGCAGTCCATTGAATGCGTCCTAATCGGGTACGGCCTGGACTCCAAGACCTATCGTTGCTACCATCGCGCGACCCATAAGGTGGTAAGCTCATACCACGTCGCGTTTATTGAGTTGCACGAGTCTGCCTCTGCCGCTCCTTTGCCGACTACTCCCTCTGTGCCGGCCGCTCTTCCGTCGCCCGTCTCTCCAGACCTGGCTGACGACCCTGCAGTCTCGCCGCCTGTCCCTGCTTTGCCTGCTGGCCCAGCTACCCTCAGATCCTGCCCCTGGCCCTGTCGGCCCTCCGGTTCCCAATCCCGAACCCGCTGCCTCTCTGCCACGTCGGTCTGCACGGGTCGGACAACCATCGCTGAAGCATGCTGAGATGGAGGGTCTCCCCTTCGTCTCACAGCTGCAACGGGCCGTCGCTGAGGTACGTGCCAGTGCTGACCGCACTCGCGCTGATCGAGCTGCTGCCACTGGACTCCCTGTACCCGCCCCACCGCCTCCCAATGCCAATGCTTCTGCAGTGGTGCCGCCCCCGCTGCCTCCCGTACCTGCGGACCTCGTGGTTGACGACCCACCACCGGTTGCCCCGGACGTTGAAGACATCCTTGAGGCCCTTGCCGCTGCGGATCTTCTACCTCTCGACGTGGAATATCCCGGGGACCCGCAGTCTCGCGTGGAGGCCGATGCCTCTCCCTATGCGGCACAATGGGATGATGCCTTGGGTGACGAGTTCTGTACCTGGAGGGATCTTAAGGTATACCGGGTGATACGACGTGAGGACGTCCCGGCTGGGAAGACCATTCTGAAGGGTAAGCCAGTCTAACGCCTCAAACATAACAAGGCCGGCGAGCCCACACGCTTCAAAGCTTGATGGGTTGCAAAAGGTTTCCTCGCCAAGTATGGCACGGACTATCAGCGTACCTCCTCACCTACCATGTGCATGGAGTCCTTCCGTGTCCTTACTCATCTGGTGGCTTCCTTAGGCTGGGACCTCGAGCAGCTTGACGTCAAGACCGCATTTCTGTGTGGCGTTCTCCCCGACGATGAACACTGTTACATGGAACAGCCGGAAGGTTTTGAGGAGCCGGGTACGACACAGCGCTTGCACATCTGGGAACTGGTCCGCGGCATCTATGGCACCAAGCAGGGCTCTCGCACCTGGAACGTCACCATGAATGATTACCTCTTGGAACTGGGCTTCACCCGCCTACCTTGCGAATTCTGTATCTACTATCGCAAGACTGCGAAGGGCACAGTTCTCACTGGCATTCACGTCGATGATTTCCTGCTCGCAGCTAGTTCTAAGGCTGCATCCGTCGAATTCAAGGAGGAGTTACGTCGTAAGTGGCAGATTTCGGACTTGGGCGAGGCTCGCTTCTGCGTCGGCATTTGCATCGAGTGTGATCACATCGCAAAGTCAATCTCTCTGTCGCAGGTCACTCTCGTGGACAAGATCATCAAGGAGTTTTGTATGGACGGCGCGGACTGCTTGCCTGTTTCCACGCCCATGGAAGCCGGACTTCAGCTCTCTCGCATTTGCCATGCCCCGTCAACTCCTGAAGAACGCGCTCAGGCTGCTCGTTTACCCTACCGCGCACTCATTGGTTGCCTGATGTACCTCGCCATCGGCACACGTCCCGACATTGCGCTTGCGGTGCAGAACCTCAGCCAGTTCCTTGACTGTTACAACACAATCCACTGGGAAGCCGCGAAGCGCGTTGTACGTTATCTGAAGGGCACATGGACCTTCCGCCTTCATCTGGGCGGTCTGGATAACATCGTCCTCTCTGGCTTCACCAATGCGAGTCACGCCACCTGCCCTGACACTCGTTGCGCGGTCTCCGGGTACTGCTGGAATCTTGGCTCTGGCATAGTCTCCTAGTCTGCTCGCAAACAGCCCACCATCTCCACATCCACCACCAAAGCCGAGTATATTGCTGC